ACAACCGACCCCATGTGCTGGTAAGTGCCTGGCCTAACCCCGACGAAGTAGTGACGAGGCTAGACAGGACCTACCAAAAACAACCTGTGCAGATATATATGTATATACAAGTACAACGAAATAACAGCAGGAAATACCAGCTAAGGCAGGGAGGGGACATGCTTAGGGGAAATACAAAAGAAAACAACTTATCATAAGTAAACACGAAACTACACCAGATCTCATAATCTACATAAGTGGTCGGCGTGCCACACGATCCGATTTCATAGTATAACTAGGTGGTCGGCGTGCCACACGATCCCATTTCATAATATATAAGTGGTCGGCGTGCCACACGATCCCATTTCATAATATATAAGTGGTCGGCGTGACACACGATCCCATTTCTTAATATATTAGTGGTCGGCGTGCCACATGATCCCATTTCATAATATATAAGTGGCTGGCGTGCCACCGATCCCATTTCATAATATATAAGTGGTCGGCGTGCCACATGATCCCATTTCGTAATATATAAGGATTTCCCGGCAAGGGAACAAGTATCAATTCAACCATCCCGGCAAGGGAGAATACAAATAAACAGTTAATTTCTGGCAAGGGAGCAACAACAATAACTTACACGTCCCGGCAAGGGAGTAATTACATCTCTTCCTCCTTCGTTCATTTCTTACGTCTTAATCGTGTCATATTTCGAGCCAACGCTCCAAGGGGTTTACAAATCGTATTTTCTCTTCATATTGTTCACATTATATCGAATCCATCAATTAAACAAGGAAGAGTCACTACAGAATCCCAAATAAGCACAAGTAAGGACTCACGGTCATGCTAGCCACTGGTGTATAGATACTCGTCACCATGCCTATACACCGTACTCGACATTTAGCAATTAGCAAATAATATTCTAATCCTATTCCCTCAAACCAAAGTTAGATCAAACACTTACCTCAAATGCTCCAAACTCAACTCAAGCCTCTAGTATCGCTTTACCCTTCGGATTCACCACCAAACCGCTCGAATCTAGTCACAAATACTTGAGTGTATCAACAAATGCTAATCTAATAAAATTGAATGCATGAAAAGTGAATTTCCCAAAGTTTTACTCAAAATTTCCCAAAATGCCCCCGGGCCCACGTGGTCAAAACCTGAGGTTCGAACCAAAACCCGATTACCCATTCCCCCATGAACTCAAATATGTAAGTTATTTTGGAATCGGACCTCGAATTGAGGTCCAAAACCCCCAATTTTAGAAAACCTAGGTTCTACCTTAAATTCCCAATTTCCCCATTAAAATCTTTGTTTTGAAGTTGAAATTATGTTTAAAGATGTTAAGGAGTAAAGAAAATAAGTTAGAAATCACTTACCAATCGTTTTGAAGAAGAAGAATCGTTTGGGAAATTGCCACTTATGTTTTGGGTTTTGAAAAAGTGAAAAATGACTGAAAATCCCGACTTTATATACTGCACTGAAGACCCGGCGCGGACCGCACAAAAAGGCCCCGCGGCCGTGCCAAGGAAGGGTGGGGAAACCACTCTCTGAACCTACCCAGCGCGGACCGCACTGATTTGGTGCGCGGCCGCGCTGTTTGGATGAAATCCCAAGGCCCCTCTCTGAATCTTCCAGCGCGGATCGCGCTGATATGGCACGCGGTCGCGCTGGTCGAATTGGGAGTCATTGGCCCTCTGAACCCAGCCATGCGGACCGCGCAAAAGTGCACCGCGGCCGTGCGGAAATGACCGCGGCCGCGCTGGGGGCCTGCAACACCTAGACCTGCAACACCTAATACTTTTAAGTCTAAGACCCTCCCGGGACCCACTCAAAACTCACCTGAGCCCTCGGGGCTCCAAACGAAACATGCACATAACTCCAAAAATATCCTACGGACTCATCCGTGCGATCAAATCGCCAAAACAACATCGAATTAGGCCTCAAGACCCATGATTTCCTTCCAATATCCATAAAACATCAAATTTTACTGCTTCTAGCTCAAAACACGTCAAATGACGTCCAAATATAACCAAACTTCACAGCAATTGCTTAACTCATATTTAAGACTTGTGCCGTGCGTCGGAACCAAAATACGAGCCCAACAGCACAGTCTTCTAAACAAATAACACTTTTCAATTCTTTAATTATTTTCAGAAAACAATTTCACGTAAAAATTCATTCCTCGGACTCGGGACCTCGGAATTTCCGGGCACACCCCCGAGTCTCATATTTTCCTACGGACCCTCCGGGACTGTCGAATCACGAGTCCGGGTCCGTTTGCCCAAAACGTTGACCGAAGTCAAACTTAATTAAAACATCAAAATTTTATTATCTTTCTCGCAAATTCATATTTAAACGTTCCGGCTACGCGCCCGGACTGCGCACACAAATTCGAGGCAACCCCCAAGTGAGGTTTTCACAGCCTCAGAAATACAGAGTGAGTAGGAATACAGGTGATGACCCTTTGGGTCGTCACAGTTTTGAACTCTTATTTTTAATATAGTATAAATAAATTGATATATTGAATGTTACAGGCACCACTACTGAGGTTATATATTAGTAGATTATCCACTCCTAATGTTTTTATGTATCCCAAGCTCAAATTTCAACATTGGTCTTTTGTTCGTTTAAGAAAAAAGGTTCATACTTGGTCTCTCCTTAAATCTTTTGTGCTTTCGTTTGTTAATGTGATATCCAAGTTTATTTGTGTGTACCTTAACTATTTTATCAAGAATTTTTACTTTTTGCCAACATAAGTACCAGACAATGTTGTCTTCTCAAAATTTTATGTCTTAGTAGCACTCTGACCATGTACGATTTATCGAGTCCTGAAACAAAGTAATATAAAATGCAACTTGAAGAACCAAAATAATGTGTTAACAAATAGAGTACATATAGCACATGGTAGCATGCTCTATACCCTCCTGGCAAGACGTCCTAGGTTAAAGGACGTCTAGTCAACTTTGACTAAGTATAGCGCATGTCTACTATGCCTGCCGCTATACATGTTCTTTTTTTGTTAATATTATCTGTAACGATTTCTCTCTCTTTTCAATCGTATCGTTCCAAATGTTCATGCCTAAACATTTATCATTATTTTATATTACAGTTATGATGTTGAATATTTCATTTATGAAGAACTTGGGTCAGTTTGTAAGGGACTAGCGTTATTTAAGGTAAAAGTGCAGTTATGTTTTGGCTTTTTCATTTTAAGTCAAACATAATTACCTTATTGGTTTAACCAATAAACCGAATGAATAATTCTAACCCAATATCATACCAACCTATATTTTATCGGTTGACTAACGGATTAATATATTTAAAGGTCGATAACCCATAAATTAAATTATTAGGCATAAATATCTAATCGATCTGCCAATAAGTAATTTGTAAAAGCGGAATGTGTGAGGGGACGAAAAAACAGGGGAAAGATTTTTCTTCTTCTTTTTGTTTTTATTATTTATAATTTATTCTTATTCAGGTATTTTTTTTAAACAAAATAATTCATTCACGCGCCTAAGTAACAAGATTTGCACACATTTTAGTCACGTCAATTGTGTTATTGCGATATAAACATAGTTACGTCAAAATAATTTATTACTAAGCAAATATATGAGTTGGACTGTTTAAACGAAAAAAATTAAGTTTACATACCGAGATGACAAACAAGTACAAGTTTAGGTGACATTTAGTCCATCTCGCCTTTTTTAAAAGAGGTTATACTGTTACGTACCATTCAAATTTTTAAGAGCTTGTCACGAGAAATGGAAACATCATTATTTACCAAAAACGTACTACTTACCACTTGCCTTCCAGACTCAAACCTTCAGGGCATTAGCGTACCGTTTGATGGTAAAGGTGTTCAACCACTAAAGAAAGCTTCACTTGTCCAATCAACAACCTTTAAATCATTTTTACCACGACATTTGAGCCGGAGCTTAAGAAAGGAAGAAAATGTTCCAACACATGCCGCATTTTCTCAAAAAAAAATTAAATAATAATAGTATCCGAACCAACTTGTATGCCTTCCATCATGTATAGGATAACTTTACATGTTATCTTTCTTTAGAGTGGAGTTGTCTAAGCTAGTTTGTGAACACCTCGACTATTCAATCAAATACCTGCTACCTTGCATCAACACAAGTAAAAGATAACTCCGACCATCAAAGTTTAGGCGGATAAGAAGAAATCACCTAGTACTTTATGCCTGTAATGAAATTTGAGTACTAGTCTCCAAAATTTGCTTCTGCTTCATTGGCCATTAGATCAGACCCGTGGGTACACTCCAAGCAATGCATTAGGCTATAAAACAGATTCAAAGATCGATGCTTTAGAGCCTTACGATATAAAACGTATCTTGTCATCGTTCCTATAGTATGTAGTATGTCTTTGACGAAAAATGAAGTGTTAAAACTGAGCTTCTAAGCATAGAAACGTGTCAAACTATTAGAACCGATAAAAATGTGATATAAAATGTAAAGCAACGAGTACTTGATTGTTGCACTTTCTAAATTGTGCGTTATAAATTGTCGTTTGAAATAAATCTCTGCTATTTTACTATTAGCACGTCCTAAATGGTGAGATTATACCCACTCTGGTTTCTTCGCACGCAACAGCAAGAACACATGAAAAAGACAGTAAACTACGAAGAGCACTCAATAATTATCTTAAATTGGTAGATTTATATGATCATTTGAGTGTTGATACTCCAGGCTCAATACAGTGGTGTTAGATGTTTAATTATCCCGCGTAATATTTTTACACATCATTGAATCCGTCTGGTTCAGTCCTTTTTTGGCTTTTATATGAAAATAAAAATCAACAATAATTATATGGCTCATATCAGAATTCAGAACCTCTGAAAATAACCTAAAACTTGATTTGGTTCGATCGGTTCTTGAAATGGATTTGACACCCCTATAGCTTATCATTGTATTGTTATCTCAATGTAGGATAAGAAAATTCAATAATTCTTGAATAAAATAATACATGTACTAACTACTAATAATACTGAATTCAAATGGTAACCAAAAGGAGTATAAAATAATAGCATACTTTTCATACAGCGATAATTTTCCCTTGTACTGGTAACCCAACGTGACAGCTTTCATACACTTGAAGCAGTGACAAAAACAGAAGTGCCAGTCTCAATAAGCTCATAGGTTAACTACAATACGCCATATCTGATGGAATACAAGGCTGGAAAAGTACCTCTCAATGGCGATGGTATCAAATCCGAGCTTGACAACAGACAAGGTAACAAGGGAGCGAAACAACTTATCTAAAATACAGGATTATTATCTTTCTACATCACGCTGTGTCGAATGTTACGTGCTTCACTATGCCACAAAAAATAGGAAAATCATAAGGAAGAAAATCAACACAAAGAATATCTTAATCATTAGCCACCTATTTGATGAGATGCTGTTGAGGTACTTGAGCAGAGCCCCTTGTGCCCCTTCGACATTTGCTAGTGTGTCATCCATGTTCTCATCAATCCTGTGTGCAAACCAAGTTATTACTTTCTTCTTAAAAGAATGTATTACTCAGCCCCACTGCATCTTGGCCAAAATCATATATGAAGAGAATTTATTGTGAATACCAGTTTAACATCAACAATCAGGCCGTACAAGGTTTTCCACAATAAAGAGTGACAACAAGAGAAGCAACAAACTTTAATTAAGTGGAAGGCACCATTTTACAAGATTCTAAATGCAGATAGCCCAAAGTATAAGAAACTTCATCTGCTTTCAGATTTTTCTCTAACCATGGATAAAGCAGTAAATCCTGCTGATAGCACAAACATCATATTGAAGATCATTTATGACATCCTCAAGCAAATAATAATTCAGATATATCAATAATGTACAAAGATTTACTTGTAAAAAAAACAAGTGCGCCAAATATTACACTACATATCACATTACAAAGATATGTTACATAAAATGAGATGGTGGGGTTCATTGAGTGTACATGCATCACATTGAGGTAGCAAATACCCGGTGGATAGTCGAGGTGCAGGCAAGCTGGCCCAGACACCACCGTCATTTAAAAAAAATATGCATCTTATAATAATGACCCTTAAAATTTTAAAAAGCTCAATTTAGCATGCAATTTACAATACAACAATGGCATGTCACTCCCTTTGATAAAATTAACCTACAAGTTTGGATAAGATTTGTCAATCCCACATATTTGCTCCCCTTACCGACTCAAGTGTCAAACAAACAGGAAGGACTAGCAATTTTTATTTTTTTAAGAATCGAGAAGAATTGACCCATTTCCCTGAAACCTAAATATGCAATAATCTAAAAAACATAGACTGCTAAATCCTTATAACTGGCAGATGCATGATATGATCCCATTGTTTTCAGTTCGGAAGTTCATGTCAAGGTTAAAAAACAACATTTACCATACAAAATAGAAGATCAACATTTTTCAGAAAGTGATACTGTTAAAAGTATAGTTGACAAATGGGAAAAAGGTTAACTTCCACTAGTTCCATTTGCCTATCAAGTGAGATCATACTGAAATCTTATTAGCTAGTTCAATACCTTCTATACACGACCTTTGCATTCAGGATCAGTTAGTACTTAGTATTGTGATTTGCAAGCTCATGACAGAGCCCGGGGAAAAAAAAAAAGGGGGGGGGGGGGGGGGGGGGGATCTGATCAGATTGAGAAGTCCAAATCTAGTGATTAGTTTATCAAAATAATAACAAACAAAAAATCCATCACTAGTCATCAAATGTTAAACTTTACTAAGATAACTAGGATTACATTGTTGTCAACTGGTTGTACTAAGATAACTACACAAAATGCAAGCACTCAGATCTCTTACATCCTTTTTTATTATTATAAGTCTAAATCCAGTGATTCTTTTATCAAAATAATAGTAACAAACAAAAAATCCATTACTTGTCATCAAATATTGAACTTTACAATTAGGAGACTAGATTGATGTCAACTCGTTGTACTAAGGTAACTACACAAAATGCAAATCATTGCGCTCTCCTACATACTTTTATTACTGTTATTTATTGTTGTTAAATTCTCGTACATAATTTTATTTTTTCAAGTGCTACAACAATTGGTATAAATACCTGATTGCAACCTCTCCTTGCTGAGAAACCAAGGTAGCAAGCTGATTAAAAATGCTGCCCAGCTCATGAATAGTAGACTCAACATTTTGAAGAGCTTCTGCTCTACTCTGCATGTAGCTGTCTTGCAGCGGAACTAACTGCTGCTGCTGCTGCTGTTGTTGCTGCTGCTGCTGCAACAATGGCTGGGTGTCTCCATCCCCTTGCGTCCTACCAGAGAGAATTAAGAGGCAAAAATCATTGATACTATAAAACCCAAAGCTGATAGCGAAAACAGATGTAGAACAGAATCTGGTTTATCCAAGTTAGTTTTTCAGATAGTTTTTTTTTTTAAATAGGTTAAAAAAAATCAGATTGTTATTACTGATGGAAAAGAAAGTAGAAAGCAATGCCAATATACAAATGATAATGAAGGGACTGAAAATGATTTTGTACATTTGAGGAATAGCCTCTTGTGTCTGATTTCTTTTTGGTGCACCCATGAGGTTCCTATTTGTATAGATGGTTGGGTGTCTTTTGTAAAGAATCATGTTTTGATGTAGATTTTCTACTTTTGGTATAACGCTTATATACAGGAGTCTCCTAACATTAATAACACAATTTAACTTACAGAAGAAAAACTAATATCCAGAGTGCATGACCATGTGACTTACAACAACTAAACCTCAACCCAAGGTAGTAGGAGCCAGCTATATGAATTCTCACTATCCATTTAGCTCCATTTAGACCCATCTTATTCCAATATTCTATAAAGTTAGGTTTTCTAACCCTGGAAGAACCGTTAGCATATAGCATTAATCTAGACGAGGTTGCATGTCTTATTAAATTTCACCAATTCAAGAATAGAGGTTCCATAGAAGAAAAGGGGTCAAGTTAAAGTTGTGTGTAGTAATGGATTAGATGAATAGGATAAAATAAAGATACATAGGATTATCGTAAACCATGTTTGGAGAAGCTGAATTTTTGGTAGTAAAAGCAGGAAGATAGATAGGCCATAGACTGAAGAGAAGGTTATTCCCATGAGAGGAAGAGGTATCTCCTCTCTTTCAACCTTTAATTCATGAATCAGTTGTAATTACTTTATGGCATCAATACGGGTAAATCAGTGATTTTGGAAACATGTCAAGATTACCAAAAGAAAAAGTTAGAGAGACAACAAACTCCTTAGCACTTCTTTTCTTTTCAATAAGTTAAAACCATTGCATTAAAAATATAGCAAGCAAGATGTTACCAAAATTACAAAAGAAATATGTAAACCTCATGGGTGCTAACCAAGCATCTACTCAGTGATAGCGGGCCTGTGGGCGAGAACTACTAACGCAGTATAATTCATCCTCACCTTGGAAATAGCTGAGATGAAGTTGAACCATTAGCCCAAGGAGGAGGGCTAGCTGATGTACTAGCAGTATTCCGTGAAGCTAGAGGACGCTGGCGCACAAATGGATTTGAAGCTTCTTTGGAAGCCGACGAAGAAAACAACTGCCTTCTGTTCTCATGAACCTTCATATTCTGGAAACAAAAATACAAGAAAATGCAAATGACCATGATTAAGTATATTTTTTCTACTGTTAACGATAAAACAGTTGCAGGGCAAAACATAATACAACAACATCAACAACAACAATATACCAGTGTAGTCCCACAAGTGGAGGGCAAAACATAATAACCACAAAAAAATAGTAAACAGAAGCATTCGCTTACTACAGACTCACAAAAGATATATTTGAGTAAGAAAAGAGGCTAACAAGGAAGATTTTTCTCTTCTTTTTAGAAGTAGGCTAACAAGGAAGATATAACCAGCATCTGGTCTAACCTCTGTCCGCATGGTGAGTACTTCTTTGAACTCCTTTGTGGCAGTCATCAGTCTGTTCTTCAAGTCATCTACAACAGTCGTCGAGTGACTAGTGGTATCACGATTACCACTTTCATTACGAGCATTAGAGTGAAGCTGAAGATCTACTACAGCAGAGTTAAGTGCTGTAATATCTTGCTTGATAACTGCAGTAAGCTCCTGAATTTCTGTAGTCGGATCATCAAAAACAGAAGTCCTTTTTGCCACTGCAATGAGACATAGTAAAACATTACCACTTTTGGATAAATCAGCATTTCTCAAGCCTGCAATCTAAATCAATTACCTTGGAAGAGAATCACAACCTATTTGATCCATGCATTTGTTTTCTCGGTATTAGAAGTATACAAATGGAAATAATTTTTTACCAAGTTCTCTTTTGTTCTCCACGAAAATATATTTTTCACAAGTACAAATGAAAATACTAAAGAGGAAAGGGGGAAAATCAGATGCCGAAATTTGTAGGATGATGGTGTCCAATAGAAAGGAGAAGATGGTTTCATCTGAAAATATTATCTCAAAAGTAACCTTCTAGAGTTCATTTGCAATCATAGCGATTTCATTCTTATTTCCAAGGCTTAATATCATGATTATTCTCATAACTTCTCATCTATGTGTTTTCATGGCAGTGTCATTGCTGATATTATTTTTCCATGTCAAGTTTACTATGATAGCTGCTACATCATCCTTTCTGTCTGATTCACTGATAGACTCTCTTTGCAGTTTCAGCAATCTGGTACAGTGTATCTATAAGCTCATCAAATACATTACAAGTTCAACTATTTTGGAGATCAATGTCAGTTTGCAGCTACATACTTCCTTTTTCAATCTCCTCCACAATGACACTAGAGATATGTTCCTGTTCTTTTTTTAGAAAGAACACTAGAGATATGTTCCTTACAAAATGAGACACTTATAGGTGCAATATTGTTAAATTATATCAAAAATCTTGGCCCTGATAATTATTCACAGCACAAACAGGTGTCAAAGAGCTAAGGCCCCGGTATACTTAACCACATAATACGTAAAATACGAGCATTAACATCTAGTGTCTGCAGTCTGCATCTTCTCTATTATAGTTTGAGAGGAAACCAAAGCATGAAAGATAAGGTTTGTATGCACAATGAAGCCCAGGGAGGGACTGCATTTATTTTGATGATGTGGAGGGACTGCACTACTAAAAACATTATCTTGAACAAGAAAAATAGCTGTGGTGCTTGTAAGACCTGAGGAAATGGTTAATTTAGCAATTCATTCCACAACTTCTCCTTGGCATCCATAAAAAAGGTCAGTTGCCCACGTTTGCAACTCTTTTTCCTTTTACGGAAGATTTAGGGGCTTAAATCCATTAGACACCAATCAAACAAACTGAACTACCCCAAGAACCCATGGTAAGAGAAAACGCAAAGGGAGACCATAACTGGGGCATCTAAGGGAACTGCAGAGTCTAGTAAGCCCAAATTGCTGACCTGGTAACTTCAAAAGGCAAAAGGAATGTCTTAAAGCACAGAAATTCCAAATAAAACTACATGTGAATCTTGTTTCTGAATGAGAAGGTATAAGATTTAACCAAATAGTCAAAAGATACTGAAATGGCTAAAAAGAAAACCTAAGAAGTAAGAGAGAGTTAAGAAGTCAGAACCATTAGGGTAGTAGTCAACCCCAAACAGAACAAGAATGATCAACTTCAAAACACCATAAGAACAATGAGTATTCATATTAGAAGAAACAGCTAACTTCAAAATCCGGCAAGTTCTGTAGGTCTCAATTTGGCAGAAAGCTTTTCCTATGGGAAAACTCTTCACTGGTTTTCCCAAAAGTACAAAAAATAGAAGATATACCAAGCAGTGCCTGGGCCAACGTACGTGCATCTAGACTGGAGTATCTGCTACCTCCCACCAGCACAAGTACCGGACAGCTCTACGCACCAAGATTTAGGTGGACGAGAAGAAATTACCTAGTATTTTTTGACTCTGTTGGGATAATTCTTCTTTATTGGGCTTCATGGCCTTAAAATCTTTTCGGATGGTAAAGTAACACCTCAAAAAAGAATTTAAGGCCGTGAAGCCTAATGGAGAAAAACTATACGTGCTACAACTATCAGCCATCAAGTTCATTGGATGCACAATAACACTCAAAATGCTAAAATTCAGCTCACATCAGCTGAATTTAGATTATATAACCCACAGAATCATCAGCATTTCCTTCATATCACAATTCAAAACTCAAACAATAGCTCTAACTTTTTTTTTTTTGATTTGCACCGGGTGTCCGAGTCTCTAAGAGCCCCGACTAATCCCGGGGGTGCACAGGCCCTCGGCAAGGAGTTTCCCGCAAGGCACCACGGTTAATTCAGGTTTTACCCAGTCCGATGGCCCTCAGAAATTGTTTGCACCCAGTGGGTTTCGAACTTGAGACCTTGAAAGGGAGCAAACCCCAAGGCTCAAGTCTATTGCCACCAGGCCAACCCCTGAGGGTCACAATAGCTCTAACTTTCAAGAGCGACAAATGCAACCACAGCATAAGGATTAACAAGCGCTTAAGTCACGCTCAATGCGTATGCCATAATTTAATTTTGTAAAGGGTAGCAAATTGCCAGTATGATGAGATCTATAAAAATAATAATTCACATAAGAGTTTGAGAAAATAAGATTTAAGTGCATAGTAAGCAACAAATTCTGGAAATTACCAGACAGTGACCACAATGCACAAACCAAACGAAAGAAATCCCTCAAGAGCCTTGGTGCTCCGATAACAATAGTAAATAAATTTGTCTACATAATTCTATATTCCTTAGCAGTGTGGTTACGCGTGAGTTTATATTTCCTCCCAATAGTGGGCTGACTCTCATGCTTGCTAGAGTAAAAATGTTAATAATCTATCACCAACATACGTGAGTTTATAGTTCCCCACGATAGTGGGATGACTCTTTTTTTTTTTTTTTTGATGACCGAGAAATCTGTCTGGGGCCAATACTTTGGACCAACCGCAGCCTTCGAAACTCGGTGGATAATGGGCCCGCCCCTCTACCCTTCTCCACTTAAATACCAGGCTTTGCTTTGCATGGCGTGGGGGCTTGAACCTGTGACCTAACACACAAATCCACCACCCTTTGCCACTTGAGCTAGGCCCTGGCGGCCGGTAGTGGGATGACTCTCATGTTTGCTAGAGTAAAAAATTTAATAATCTGTCTCCCAACTATATTGCTGAAGTACCACACACAAAATCACTAATCTTCGAGTTAATCTCGGATATCTCCATTTTCTCGAATTACAATTTGCCTATTAAAGAATTAAACAAAATTGCAATTACTAACTACTTAAAATATAAATATAAAATATTTAAAAAATGGAAGGATTATACAGATAGTAATTGAGTCATGTAAAATGGGACAAACGGAGTGTAGAAGTATTCTTCCACTTCCAAATTGTTGGCTACTTATAAAGATAGCCAAGAACTAAATGGAACATACAACAACTAACTACTACAAAAGTTACACCTCAATATCAAGCTAGTTGGAGTCAGCTAATGATATCTTTGGCAAGCCTGAATGCGACTATTCCACTGGATACCTGCTATCTCCCACCAATACTGGCACCCAGTAACTCCACTCACCAAGGAGTTCGCTAATGATATATTGACTAATTTTAGTTTGGTCTCAGCACATATCCGGGCTTGGACCCGCAATGTGAACAAGATCACACATAAAATGCCACATCCAATGAATTTTTAATACAAGTTAAATATTCAAAAAGTAAATGCGAAATATACTAAAACATATAATAATTGCAAATTTCTTCCTCTACAAAACAAAATAGCATATTAAAAAGCTTTAGTGAGACAATAGACTTACATTTCGCTAGCTTTGCAAGCTTCTGCGAGGTTTGATGTATTCCGAAACCAATTTTCGAGGCTCGTTTATTAAACTCCGACTGCATAGCAACAGTGGACCTCTGTTCCTCCGATCTAGAACCACCACTATTTGTACTGCTGCTAACCGGCCCATTCTGTACGGACGAAAATGACTTCTTTAATCTCTCCGCTATACTCTGAAACTCCTGAGTCCGATCCCGTATTGACGCACTCGCTACTTTCACAGGCATTTTCAATAATCTCCGAAAATTAACGATTTCAATATACTAACACAAGCAATTGCAAACAATAAGCTGTAGATCCAAAATTAAAACTGTAGACAAATAAAATCTCACATGCGCATTCAAAATTCGATTAGATCTCTGCTTGAAGATCTCACAAACCCTAGAATTGCGAGATCGAAAAATCTTCCTCAGATGAAAACCCTAGATCTTGCGTAGAGAGAATGTAGAATTGTAGATCAGATGACGAACGTTGAGCGGACGAGGGAGACAATTCGGTGCCAAAAAAACGATTCAACAGCTGGTGCCAGGAGGAGAGTTTTGGAAGAAAAATTGATAGGCTGGAATGCTGGATGGTTAATCCGAACCCGAATATTTTAACCCAATATATTTGATGGGTTCATGCTGAGATTATAGGGAAACTTAGGCAAATGTCCCAAATAAATCTCAACTTACCAACCTCTAGTCATTAATCATAGATTTACCAAAACTAACCAATAAAAATTGAAAAACCAAATAATAGGGTTCTTTCTCTCAAAGAATCACATGCAAAAATCACCTTCCATATTTTTAAGCGTGATCAGCAACACTAGATAGAAGGAAAGGAAATTTTATGGATGAGGTAGCAAATAAGGTGATGAACTACAAAATATATATTCAATATTCCAAAAATTTAAACAAAAAAGGAACTTTTTCAATGGGTATAGTTGAAATTCATTGAAAATATATAGATAAGTCAATATACAAAATTTGAGGAAGATTGGAGGTGATTTGGACTGGTTTTGTATCAAAATACGTAATTAAATCGAGTTCAAAAAAGTCCTCTGCGACACATGTATCAAACATGTATCACGCATGTATCTCACACACAGGTATACACGGATATACATGTGATACACAATAGACACAAATATGATACATTGTGATACACAGTGTGATACACATATCATTTTTTTCATGTTCAGTTTTTATCGAATTTTCAATTCAAACCACCTCAAAACTTCACCAAATCATCCCAAAACTGATATTCAAGCTCCTTAAGTTGTGCCCAATCTATTCTAATAACACCCACTCAAAACAAAGCAAAAATTTGATATTTTTTTGCTACAAATAGCTAATTGGCTAATTTGGCTAATATTAGTAATATTTTATCAATTCGCCAATTTTTGTAATGAGCTACCTATAAATAGACATAGCTGGTAATTTCCCGAGATTATAAGCCAGTATTTGTAAAGCTCAAACGTCCAATGTGTTTCATGTATTTAATTTTTGTGTTAAACTAACTAGGAAAATTAATGTGAAGATCAATACCCATTACCCCATATAAAATGACGCAATATTGGTTGGAGGAATTTTAAAAAGTAAATGAGATACATCCTTTTTGGCAGGTTATATAAGAAAAAATAAATTTCACATAATTAATATAGTGTCTGATTGATGGTATTATGTTTACCCTTAAAATCGGATGACAATTAAACTTATAAGTAGTTTTAAGGATACATAATTTCACCTAGCACTAGTTGATAAATATGATGATTAATAGTAGAAATTAACAGCAAAGTAAAGCAAACCAGTATTGAATGCAATTCAGCCCTCGAGCTAGGTCGCCCTCGAACCGAGTGAGTGAAAATAGAGTTATAAAATAAATGAACAAGAGAGTATAAGAGAAAAAGAATATTGTATTGCTTTGATATGGGAGAATGTAAGATCATTACAAATGGTTAAGACCCTCTTCATATAGTAAAGGAATCCTATTTACGGTATAATTCTAATTACAGAAGGAAATCTCATGATTAGCTAAACAATCGTCCTTAATTTGATCTGTTCCGAGATTTCCGCCTTGATCCTCGATCAGACACGGATATCTCGCCTTTCCATTATCATGCTATCTCCGGTCTTGCTCGATGTCTATACCGTTCGATCTCGACAGGTACTTCGTATCCCGAACTCGGTACCTTATCCTCGCGTCTCGGTCTGATATGCTATGGGGCCGATCCTCAATCCATCCCCCTGGTCTTGGTTAATCAGTAAAATCGGGTGGGCCCGGTTTTAACCGTATACAGATAGTCCCCTCGTTTTTTGGAATGTAACGACAAGAAACGAATTGAGTTTTCGAACCGGACCTTGGTTTACCATGACGTAAGCATTGTGACGCAAGCGGCAGATGTGACTGAAACGTCCCATCGGTTCAATTTTCCAGGCATTAAGATACGTCAATTGCCGGTCGCCACTAGCAACTTTGAACGCCGTGAAACCCATAAATAGGCCACTTTTTCACTCTTTCAAACTTTACGTTTAATCTCTTCTACTCTAATCTTCAAAGCTCTTTGCATCCTTCAAGTTCTTTATCTGCACATCTTCAAGTTTCATTGCTAACCTCTTTTTTAAAACACTGAATATCCTAATCCCTGTTCTTCCTTGTTCACAAAAATGGCTAAGACCTCTAAAACTGTCCCTCATAAGGATACCGCTTCTTCATCAAAGTCTGCTAGTGCCGCGGCCGCGGCGGAACATCCTCTTGCAGACTTCGTTCTGACAAAGTGTGCCACCGCTGCTGATTTCAAGGTGGAGAATACACCCTCGACACCGGGTTGATGTGAACCCATGTCGAGGTACATGTGTACCATTACCGAAAGTCTCCTCGAGAAGGTGAAAGAGGAGTGCAACTAGGTAGGCAAGGATGTAGTAGTGCCTAGCCCCCGAGGAATCCATCACAACTAACAAGGAGGGGTATCTGAGTGTCTATACCTACCCCTTCACGATAAGTCCCTTAGACCCTATCATCGTTGCCTTTTGCAAGAGGTACGATGTCACTTTGAGCCAAATCCACCCGTCGTTTTGGAGGATCTTGATCCCCCTTCGATTCTTTGTAAGCAAGATCGAGGGGCATCCTTTTACCCTCGATCACCTCATGCGCCTTTACGGCCCCCAGCTTTATCGTGGGGCATGATCAAGCTTTATCGCCGAGCCACCAAACCCCTATCTCGAGCATAGACGAGACCCGAGACCGAGGTTGGATGGGCAATTTGTCCGAATAAAGACTTCGGATCTAATCCCTGCCGAAGATATGTCGTTCCCTGAAAAGTGGAACATGAAACGTAAGTGCTGCTTTGCCTTTGAATATTTATTTTTGTCGTTTTACTTCTTGCCTTCCCCACATCTAAGTCTTTTGTGTTGCAGCTGTGGCCGTTGTGCCGGAAGTGATCCCTGACCTGAGGCAATGGGTCAAGGGATTGGGGTCACAAAAAACTTATTCCGAGCGTGCTTGGATGGAGTTGTCAAGGGGCCAATGGGAGGCTGGTAACCATGGTAATCTTCTTTCCTTAGAAAGGTTTTCATTCGGGTTATGATATTGTACTTACTCCTCCTTTTCATTTTGTAGGCCTCGGGAAGGATGTGCCAATGAGGCCCCCTCTGCTGAAGAAGAGGCACTCCTTTCCCCATCTTCCCCGAAGCAGGGCAAAGAGAAGAAAAGGAAGGAGGCTCCGAGTTCTCCGGGCCCGGAAAAGAAAAGGCCGGCCAGGAGGCCTCGTAAGCCTAAGGGAAATGTCATTCACGTATCTCTGGAGTCCGCCCAACAGATAATGGATGAGACCGAAGACGAAGACGTAGAAGAAGAAAGCTCTAGATTGGTGACTCGTGTGCGAGCTGGCACCGAGGTTCAAAGAACCGCTGGACAGGCGGAGCCGGAGCTGCTTTGTCCCAACCTGATAAGCCCGAGCCGGAAAGAGTTTAAGATGCCTCACCTCAAGGTGGGGAGGCCACCGAGGAGGCGGTCGAGGCCGGTGCAAAAACCAAGCCTGATGCTTCCTAACGAAGGTGGAGCCCCAAAAGATTCACTTGGGGGAATGGAGATTGGAGATTTCTCCTCATTACCTTCGTTCTCCGATACGATAATTAAGGATGCTCAGGCAATGGAGGCTCGCCCCGGCGAAGAGGTCCACGGAGTAGAAGACCTTTTCGGCGGCTATTTTGTTCGAGTGGAAGACGTCACCGATCTGGGCGACTTGGACATACCGAAGAAAATCTCGAACAAGGCTTCCTCGAGCTTTAAACTGACCAACCAATTTCCAGCCCCCAGTGTCGACCCCGATCACAAGCAGCCTCTTATCATCTCGATCCCGGAAGATACTCAAGTTTTCTCTGCCCCAGTAGGGGTGGCTAGGTATCTTCGATGTTTGGTCACTGAGGAGGACCAAGCCAAAATGGATGCAGTGGATGTTGCCTGCTTGTTTAACGAGGCCCAGCACATTCTGAATCGGGTAAGTTCAAGGGCCATTATTTTTTTATGACTTTGAATTGTAAATATCTCTAACATTTTCTTCCTTTCTCGCAGGCTTCGGTGTTGCATCATGAGGCCTTTCTTTGAATCCGAGAGGAACGCAAGGCCGAAGTCCAGGGCCTCACTGAGAAATGCAATACTTACAAGCTTCTTAGTGAGAAGCTTCAGGTAGACCTGGTGGAGGCTCGAGATGCGCATGAAGAGATGACCGAGCAAGTATTTCGAGTTCTTCATGATAGTGAGGATGAGTCGGAGATAACAACTAACAATCCCATTCTACAGGTTCGACAGAGGCTCGAACTGATCAAGGGCCTCCAAGAGCAAATAGATAAAGTGCGAGCCGAAGCCGAATAGTTCAAGGGGTGTATGGACATTTTGGCTGCACAAAAGGTAACCGTTCAAGCAGAGCTGGATTCGGCTAAGTCGTAGCTTGGTATGTAAGGGAGAATGCCTCGGTTCAGGTGAAGAAGGTCGAGGAACTCGAGTATAATTTAGCTAGTTTGGCCAAAGAGCTCGAGGTTGCCAAATTTGAAACGGCCGCGACCAATACTATGGCCCGGGCTATTGCAACCCAATACAAAGTAGACGTCGAAGCCACCCTCGAGCAGGCCAAGGGCATGGTGGATCATTCAAAGTGGCAGGCTCGAAGGGAGGCTCTCGAGGGGTTCACTGCCTAGAGTTTCGACATATATGCCGAACTCGAGATCGCCAAGGCTGAGGAAGCAAAGGCTCGGAAGCTAGCATTTCCCAACGAGAATTACAAGAATGTGAGCGGATCTGGTGGAGAAGACTCCGAGGGTGAAGAAGCTTCCTTTCATAATGATCGTGCTGCTTAGGCCTAGTAATTTTTGTTTTTCTTTGAGGCCGATTAGCCTTTGTAAAGAATTTTTGATCGGGCCATGTGACCCTTGTAAGAAAAACTTTGATATATAAAAACATTTTCCTTTCCAAGGTTCCAAAATCTTTGGCCTTTAGTTATTTTATGCAAGTGTCAAAGTACCTTAGTACAAAGTTATCTATTTGTATCCAACAGTCCCAGGTCTGACATTCGAACTTGTCCTGAGGCAATTTCCAATAAATCAGATCCGAGTG